ATAGATAATGAGGGTATAAAATTATAATAAAATGTGATTATCATTTAGCCGACCTAATAGATGGCTCCCCATGGGGATCGACTGGTCTAGTTGCGAGCACCATAATCACCTCCCTTGATCCGGTGATGAGGACCGTGGCCCTATCTATATCTTGAGGAGCCGTTGGCACTACTGACACCCCGGTCATACGTAAGAATGCTCTATCGAGTAAATCTTCAAAACGGCGAGAGCCTGCGAATCCCTTGATTAAATCAAGTTGATTTTTCTCTTCCGAGGACAACGTGCTTCTGGCAAGAGTATCTCTGCTTATCTCGGGCCATTCGGAGCAACACATCTCTAAATCATCCTCGATCACCCACACAAACTTCTCCTTCCAATCCTTGTGCGAATCTAGAAGATCTATGATCAATTTGAACTTTCCTATCATTTGAAAGTGATAATAGGGCTCCTTTTGATTTACCTTCACGGCCACCAAATGAGCTAAGATCTTTAGAGAAGGTCTTATCGCCAACCATTGGCATATAACCACGAATGCCATAGCAACGACTATGGCGTTCGGTTTCATCTGCGCAGGTGAGACTCCTAGCGTCTCAAATAGACGCTTCAGAAAGGGAGGCAGAGGTAACCTTAAACCACAATCCAGATGTCTCAAATAAAGAGGATGTCGTTCAGGTCCATGGTTGAAAACAGCCTCCGAACTCGTCGGAAGGAGTAGTTCATATCCTGTAGAGATATCGAACTTCTTAGACATCATCCTCAATTGGGACAAGGTCACTGTGGAACGAATGTTTTCTAGAAAATCCCGACGATCAACCATGTCTAAAGCCATAGATGGACGGAAGGATAGTTGGCAAGAAGAATGAGCAAGAGGGCAAGAAAAATTGAAAAAATAAGAGGAACAATTAATCAAAAGAGAATTTGAAAGGATGATAGCGGTGTATGGTGATTTTATATATGAATAAAAAGAAATTCAATCTTTACAACTATCAAGATTCAAGCCGTTAGATTCAATTACCTCATATGGTTAGGATCTATCATTGGAATTCAAAATTCTCATGAAAGACGAAGCATGCTCACTCTCTTTTACCTCGAAGAGCTCGTAATCTGCCAGGAGAGCAGCACTGCTATAGTTATGGTGATGCCTGTTGACGCCATATAGTACGGTTCTTTAAATGAAACCGTCTCTTCTCCTATTTTGTCCTTTGATTATCTTTGTTTTACTCCGATTTGGCTCAAGCCGAATCCAAGCAAAAGGGGCTAACTGTTATGGGACATATATGTTCCACGAATATATAACTTGATGAGTCAGCATCTCGACCAGCTCAACAAGCCGACACCCCAGTGTCAGTGCGAGAAGCAATGACAGTCGACACGAGAGATCCTGACCTCCCAGATGAGTCGACTTCTTTATGTCGACTCGAAAGACGGTTATTAGCTGAGACGAGACAACATTCCTACCAGTCGAACATGCCGACACTCCTGAGTCGATGCGAAAGGCGGTGTTGGTCGACACGAAAGTTAGCAACTCGAAGATATGACCCTATGAGCCTTGTTTCTCGACGAAGCTAAAGGATTGCCCTTATCTCATATCTGTCAGCATAGATGTCACTTCTCAACATTGTTTAATCTTTGATGATCATCATTAAGTGTCATTCCCCAACTGTCTTGAAGACTTGTCAGCTGCTGACTCCTAATGCTGCCAAAGTGATTTCCCCCAACTGTCTTGAAGACTTGTCAGCTGCTGACTCCTAATGCTGCCAAAGTGATTTCCCGCCACTCACAAACCAACACGTGTGGAGTGAATGATAACTTATTTTCCAACTCACTCCTCATCACCGCCTCACTACCATCTTACTGTATACCCATGGAGTGACCAACTTGTCCTCGGCATCTCCCATAAATAGAGAGGCTATTCGCGATAGCAAAATGTTCGCAATCTAAAACTTTTAAGAGCACACACTACACAAAAAGAAGAACACCCAGTTCTGTTACTCCACTCAAGCTCAAGTTCATCAACTGACTTGATCGTCGGATGTACCACGAGGTTTATCCCCGCCCTCTTACGACTCTTTGTGTGCAAATTGCTCAATCATCTTAACTATAGAACCAAACATAAAGTCAAAGAAGAAAGCGGCCCCTTACAAACTCCGTGATTTTATTTAGCTGTGTGATATTTAACATCAACAAATATATAGCTATATAATAATATGTAAGTATATACTAATGCATACTTATATAAATATAATAAGATTAATCTAAATTTTTAACAATTTTTAGCCAAAAAAATAAAAAAAGTAAAAATAAAAAATCCGGACCAGCCCGGAACCTGGCCTGCTTTTGGTTCGGACCCGGGCTCGGGCCCGACCTGGGCACCCCGGGGCTGGGTCTGGGTCACTTGTTTTGCCCAGCCCAGATCTAGATTTCCGTGTCGGGGGGCCTGCCGGCCCTAATGGACAGGCCTAGGCCCGGGCCCTTGAGGTGTTTGAGCTTTATTTTTTTTCCTCAGAACTTCTGTCTCTAAAAATAATTGTCACCGCGCTTGCGTCAACATGGTATGGATTAAGACAATCAAAGGTGAGACGAATGTTTGAACAAGCATCTTGGGAATATTGTTTGTATACCTAGCATTTTTTAATATAAGAGTAATAAAATGTCTATACCTACTAATTGTTTATGATTTTTTCTTGAAGCAAGTTGCTAAAGAGAGCTTGTCTCATAGAATAGAAGCTCTCGTGACAAGTCGGCTAGATACCCGATCTATTTAACAACCTTATACTTACGGAAATAATTAATCCACAGAACAGTTTGCAAAACATTAAAAATTCAAATTTAATAAAATTTGGATTATTTCGTGTGTGACCCTCTAATCTTTCACGTTTTGGTTTGGACCTTCAAATCATTGAAATTGCTATAAGATCCAAATTTGTGCTAATTTAACTAGGAGTTTCAAACAACTTACGTGATTCGAAGATCTAGTATAAATTTTAATGATTTAGGGGACTAATGTCAAAATATGTAAGATTGAGGGACCAATACCAAATGAGCCATAAAATTTTAGCGTCCCAAGCCGCCGTCGAATAGGTACCCGCATCGCGCGCAAACATACAAATGATGATTATTAAGGCGTAGTTTCTCCCATCATAGAAAAGAAAAATTTCCTAATGACTCAAAATATAGGACCAACAGAGGGGACATGTGAGGTGTCCCTCTCCTATTGCATAATGAGTTGGTCACCATTAATGATGTCCAGCTCATTACGCAATAGGAGGAGGACACCTCACATGTCCTCCCTGTTGGTCTCATATTTTGGATTCCTGTAACAAAGCTCCATAAAAAAAGACGTCATCACGCGCATAAATACAAATGACGATTATTAAACGCAAAGGGTTAATCGTTTATCTTTTTTGAGAAAAAGATGCCCTTTTTTACAGAATATCTTTTTTGAGAAAAAGATGCCCTTTTTTACAGAAAAAAGATGGCATCACGCGCATAAATACAAATGATTAAGACACAAATGGTTGTGTTTTTTTTAAATAAAAAACGCCATCATGCGCATAAAAAATGACGATTATTAAAACGAAGATGATTGTTCTGTTTATATAGAAAAATGACGCAAATGGTTGTTATCTAACCATTTTTTAGACCAAAAATAAATATTATTTACAATAATTGATGTAAATACGAGAAAAAGGAGAGAGAACCTAGAGGTTATTGCAGACCAACAACATAATAATGACGAAGGAGAGAGTGTCAGGATGAAGTCTGTATAATAGCTCTTGCTTGACTAATAACAAACTCTAATTTAGTACTAATAATTGTTTGAGATGATAGAGTACATGTGAATGCATGTAAAAAACGTGTATGAGGTGAAACAATGTAAAAATCAACTCCAAAGCTGATTTCAACCACCTCGCCATCGATGGTCAATCGTGGCTCATTGATGGTAGGTGAGCTCAATGATGGCTACAGGAATCAATTGATGATTTGTAGAGAGAGTATTTTAGATCATCAATGGTATGCAGGAACCCATCGATAGTGTGGTCAAGAGCAATCATCGATGATAAAATCGGCTGATTGTAGATCTTAGGTTTTAATCTTAGTCGTTCGTCATTCATTTGATCTCTAAACTATACCATATTTAGGATATCTCTTTTTTAATCTAGTGGAGACTATGTATATCATTGAAAGAGATAGAGGGAAGAGGAGAGTTGTTTGGTTTTGAATTGTGAATAGATTTCTTTAAAGGTTTTGACCCATGAGTCTCGACTAACTCTCTCTCGTCATGCACAATATCTTCGGATTGTTTTAATGAGGAGAGTTGTCCTTGGATTCATTATCTACATTGTTCTTCAACATGTTATGCACAGATTCATCGAAGGATGGTTTGTTTATCAAACGGGCTGTAAGATATTTCATATTTCCTGAGTTTAATTGCGATGGTTAAGTTTTGTTTGAAACTTATTTTTACAATATACTCAAGCTAGTTAGAATTGAGAGCTGGGACTAGCTAGAGCTAAATATTATTCATTATGGAGAGTTAAATTAGACAACTAGATTCTGGGGTGTGGTCTTTAAACCTACTGAATCGGGTTTGTGATTCAGGAGAATTCTCCGTATGGTGAGAAAACCCCTTCGTAAGAAGGAAGGGTGGATGTAGAATTGTTATCGAAAACACTATAAAATCTTGTGTGTTCTTAGTTGGTTGTTATTTGTGGTTATTTATCAGTGATCGCTTTTATTTTATTTTTTTTACTTGCATATTTTGTGTTTTTTAGCAAAAAATAGTAGCAACCTTTTCAAAAAAAAACAAAAAAAACCCCACTTGCTATCAAATCCAACAGATAGAACCTAAACATTATTTTAGATCAAAAAGATAACGTGGACAAAAAGGAGGGAGAACGTATTGCAGACCAAAAATATATATAATTTTATTTACAAAAATGGATGTACATATATGGACGAAGGAGCGAGCTCTCTATATCAATGCATGCGAGTAGCTTCAATATATACCAAACACATTCCTTCTCGCCTAGATCAAGCATGGCCTTCACCATCATCCTCTCAACCTTCTTCTTCCTCCTCCCTCTCATCTTCCTCCTCCGCTTTCGAAAAACCAAAAAACTCAATCTCCCACCAGGTCCATTCAATCTTCCTCTCATCGGAAACATCCATAAATTAGACGATCTCACTCACATTTCCCTACACAAACTCTCCCAAAAACACGCCCTTAATGTACCTCAATCGGCACCGTCCCAACCATCGTCGCCGCGTCATCCCAAATCGCCAAAGAAATCCTGAAAACACACGACTTGTACACCTGCAGCAGACCTAAGCTCACTGCCACCAACAAACTCTCCTACGGATCCTCCAACATTGGATTCTCACCTTACAATGATCAATGGAAGGGTCTCCGCAAAATTTTCACTAATCATATTTTCAGTTCGAAAAGGGTCGCGTCTCTTAAATCAATAAGGGAGGAGGAAGTAGGGAGAATGATTAGTTCGATACGTAGTAAGAATTCTGAGTTTAATCTGCACACGGAGTGTCTTCGTCTTACGAATGATGTCACGTGCAGAACTGCGCTTGGGAGGAGATATTATGGAGGGGAGAAAGATGATCGTGAGAGGATCCTGCACGAACAGCAAGCGTTGATTATGGGATTTTTCTTTGCTGATTACGTGCCGTTTTTGGGGTGGTTGGATAAGTTTACGGGGATGAGAGGGAGATTGGAGAGGAATTTTGAGGAGCTTGATAGGTTTTATCAGAAGGTGGTTGATGAACATAAAGAGAGGGAGAGGAGGGAGGATGAGAGGGATGAAGATATTGTGGATTTTATGCTTGATTTGCAGAAGGAAGGAATGGGTCTCAGTGATGACAACATTAAGGGAGTCCTAATGGTATCATTCTTCTTCACCTTATTTCTTTTCTCAGTTAATATTGCTCAAAAACCAGTAATGCATAATATGGAGTTTTTCCCCCCTGGAAACCACCACCCATCTTTCATTTATAATTTATACCTAAACCATCTTTAAAGTGAGTTTTTGTTCCAACCAATCACCTCGTAGCTAAATCTTCACTGAAAAATAAAAAATAACCTTAAAAAATACATGTTTAAAGTGGTAACTTGTATCATAACTAGACTTAAAACATTAGCAAAGTGGATCACTTTTCTTGAATATGAGTTTTTACGAAGATTTTTGGCTTTTTTTTTTTGTGAAGATTTTGATCGGGAGGAGGTTGATTGGAACAAAAACCCACTTTGAATGTGGTTTAGGTATAAATTAAAATTAAAACATGGTTCCTATAAAATGATCATATTTTAAACTATATTATATATTGTGATTAACGAATAACTTCTTATCATTTATATAACTTTTTTAATTGTGCTGGACCCTCTAGTTTTATTTTGCAGATGGACTTGGTGAGTGGTTTTTTTTCTTTTGACTCTTTTAGGTTTAAGAGAGAGACAAAAATGTTTTAATTATAAATACACACCATAGTGGTAAAAGAGTTAAAAAAATTCACACAGGGGTCTATTTATAAAAATAAATTTAGAGTGGCAGTAAGTTCTAATTAATACTAAAAACTATTTGTAATTAACCCTCTTTTCGTTTATTGAGCGATGTCCTCTCATGTTTTCAATCATGTGTTGGGAGCCGTTCTTGATTGGGTTTAGGTTCTCAAGCTCCCATTTGGAAAGAAAATGATAATCATACCATAAGCACTGACAAATTAAAAAATTTTAAGGTAAAGTAGAATCGAAAATAGTTCAGGGAATAAGCAGGAGACAGACTCTACCAGTACAACAATTAGAATTTCAAATAATAACTGACATATTGATTTTCAAACTTTGGTTATATATATATATTGATTATTTAAACAAAATCACACTCTGGCCCAACGGTAATTGGCTTTAGAATTTGAGCATTCTAGGATGCACTTTATTAGTAATTTTTTGATTTCTAGATTTGTCAAGTCTGAATACTAATTGGGTGTTTCATTAGTAGTATTCAAAACCTCATATCGTTTCAACTATTCTTTTTTTTTTCCTTTCAAAATCATCCAAAAACAATATGCTGCTGTGATGCTTAAATTCAAGAGTGTTCCAACAAAAAAAGTTAGAATAACATGACAGCGTCTGGTGTTTCAACAACTCCTAAAGTAAAATACCGTTGAGCTTCGCTTCTTAATTACCGCTTTAAGACATGCTCTACAATAAAAAGACTCATCCGAAGAAATAATAATGTATAAGAGTAAGTAAGGATTCCAAATGAAATTGCATCATAGATTTTCGAGTTGAAGTGAATATATATCAAAATTTTGTTTGACCTTGCTCAAGTCACATTTTCTTCAATTTTTTGCAGGATATATTCTTCGCTGGAACAGATGCAGCCACGGTAACATTAGAGTGGGCAATGACAGAGCTCATGAGACACCCAGAAGTCTTGAAAAGAGCGCAGGCTGAAGTAAGAGATCTCGTCGGAGACAAAGGGAAGGTGGAGGAGACGGACCTCCACCAATTTCACTACCTGAAACTAGTAGTGAAGGAGACGCTGAGAATACACCCTCCGGGTACATTGCTCCTCCCGAGGGAAATAACTCAACAATGCAAGATCAACGGCTACGACATCCCGGCCAACTCAAGATTGTTCGTCAACGCGTGGACGATCGGGAGAGATGCGGGTGTCTGGGAAAATCCTGAGGTGTTCCGCCCAGAGAGGTTCGTCGACAGCCCCATCGATTTCAAGGGCCATCATTTCGAACTGATACCGTTTGGTGCAGGCCGCCGTATTTGTCCAGGAATGGAAATTGGGCTGTTGGTTGTGGAGCTCGCGCTTGCTAATCTTCTTTATGTTTTTGATTGGGAGCTGCCCGATGGGATGGTGAAAGAGGACTTGAATATGGATGAAGCTCCTGGGGTTGACGTCGCCAAAAAAGCTCCTCTCTTCCTTGTGGCCAGAAAAGTTTATTAAGATGGAAGAGAAGTATATGAACATTTCAATTGTACGTACGTGTGCTTTTCATAATGATGATTGGGATTTGATGTTAGGATTTGTTGTGATAATCTTTGGGATTTTAGTAGTTTGTTGTTTTATTTAAATAAGATTGTAGTCCTCTACAGATGATTAAATACTTCACAAATTAAGTATCTTTGTTAAAATTTTATCATACTCATGATTGGTGTAAGGCTCACCGAGGGTTTGTTTGGTTTGGGATGGCAACGTGCGCAATGAGGGTTCCTCAACCCCACTTGGTTGGGAGCTCGTTGCTTTGAGCAATTGAATTCCAAAAATGATGTTTTATTGGAAACTAGTTTTTTTTTAGTTTTAAACTTGGGATGGAATTTGTATTTTTCTAGGATTATAAAATTTGGAAGAGGGTTTTAAATAATGCAAATTTTCAATTAATCAATTTTTTTTTCTCTCTCTACTTCCTTAGGGGTTGAACCAAGCTATATAACGTATAACGTAGACTATATTCTTTAATGTAATACTTTGTTGGAGGGGGGTTGCATCAAAAATGAACCAGTTTTCTCAAAACTGGGCTCAGTTCAGTTCTAGCTCAATTTTGAGAAGATTGCTAAACACACATCTATGGTTGGGACTAAACGCTGACGTGTTTGAGCTCGTTTCTAATTAAGTATTTTGAGAACTTCTTTGGTTTAAGATGATATGACATGTGCTTTCATCCACGTAAGTTTCATCCACATAAGACAAATGTTTGAATGAGCATCTTTGCCTTCCTCATTGATTGGACGTTTTTTGTGTAAATAGATATAAAATGTCTATAATTTAATACTGGTTTGTGAAGTTTTTCCCTCGAAGCAAGTTGCTTAAGAGAGAGAGAAACTGGTATTATTTAATGTTTTGTTAAAAAAAACTGATCAGCAAAATTAGAATATAGGTTTCTCCAGACAAGGGCGATGGATTCCCTATCCGGCCATTTCCCAACTTTAATAAGCATGGAAATAATTAAGAAAAGGAAACCACTTGCTTTTAATTTAAGAACAGCATGCAAAACATTAAAAAATCCAAATTAAATAAAATTATGTCGTTATTAGTCCCTTAATCTTTAATCTTTTGAGATTAGTCCCTCAAATAATTGAAATTTCAACTAGGTCCCTAGTTCAAACGGGCGCTGACTGGGAGGACTAGTTTCATATAAAAGTGTACAACTGTCATTCTGTTAAAAATTTCCCCAGTTTCAACAAGTCCTAACTAGAGGACTAATTTCAATTAACTTATATGATTTGGGCAAACTAATAACAACTTCAGTGATTAGTTTAAGGGACAAATCTCAAAATATGAAATCTTCGAGGGACCGACATCGAAATATCCCATAAAATTCTCACGGGTACGAGCCATCCCTGTCACGCACATAAATACAACTGATCACGATTAAAGAAGCAAACGGTTGGTACCTAAACATTATTGCAGAGTAATTTATTTACCATAATGGAGAACTAAATCTCGATCTTTATATCAATGCATGCATGTATTACAATAAAAGTTATATTTGTCCGTATTTATTTTATATATGACACGTATAAAATTTTTATTTTATTTGCAAAGAAATAAACAATAGTACGTAACACAAATAAAAAATATATTAAATCACGACACATATTTGTGTCGTCAGATATACAATTAAATATAATTGAAAAAGGCTAATAATCCGACGTGGATTGTGAGAGGATCTATAGTGGGCTTATATAATAGATATTAGATTTTAATTATGATGATGATTAAACATTTATGATAGTGTATAAGCTAAAAAAAACTTCATAGTTAAGTGTGCTTTGGTGAGAGTAATCCTAAGATGGGTGACCTTCTATGAAGTTATACTGTTGAATGATGATGCTCTTTATATTTTATGCTCTAGACACAACTATATGTCATCATTATTGACACATATATGTATCATGAGTTTTGTGATACATGTATGTGTCAGCACTTTTGACATATATATATTTCGTGAGTTTTGTGACACTTATTCACATGGGTAAAAAGACCCTCTTCATATATGCTCTAACCACACTTTTTATATGTGTCATCATTATTGGCACATATATGTATCATGAGTTTTGTAACACATGTTATTTATCAGCACTTTTCTCTCTCTCTCTCTCTCTCTCTCTCTCTCTCTCTCTCTCTCTCTCTCTCTCTCTCTCTCTCTCTCTCTCTCTCTCTCTCTCTCTCTCTCTCTCTCTCTCTCTCTCTCTCTCTCTCTCTCTCTCTCTCTCTCTCTCTCTCTCTCTCTCTCTCTCTCTCTCTCTCTCTCTCTCTCTCTCTCTCTCTCTCTCTCTTCAACAACTCCCTATCCAAAAAGTCACGATAGCTCTCTCTCTCTCTCCAAAACTCGTGCCAACTTATTTAATGCTACGTTTGCCTTCAACTGCATCTCTATCAACGGTCTTCTTCAACCTTCGTCTTCAACCTTCATCTTCAACCACCGTCTTCAACCTTTGTCATCGTTAAATTATTTTGACGTTTTAATGGTAAGTTTATGAAATTTGTTTGATTTTTCGTCTAAAAGTTTTAGTTTTAACCTTAAAGATCGTAGCTTTTTGTTGTAAAAGGTGAAAAATTTTCACATTTTAGTCTGAAAAGTTTCCTGTTTATTGAAGAAACCAGTTGAAAAACGAATCTCGATTCACTGCAGTGCACTGCAGTGAATCTCGATTCACACATGCGTGTCTCCGTTTTTCAACTGGCTTAAAGATCGTAGCTTTTTGTTGTAAAAGGTGAAAAATTTTCACATTTTAGTCTGAAAAGTTTCCTGTTTATTGAAGAAACCAGTTGAAAAACGAATCTCGATTCACTGCAGTGCACTGCAGTGAATCTCGATTCACACATGCGTGTCTCCGTTTTTCAACTGGCTTAAAGATCGTAGTTTTTTGTTGTAAAAGGTGAAAATTTTCACCTTTTAGTCTGAAAAGTTTACTGTTTTTTGAAGAAACAAGTTGAAAAACGAAGACAAGCATGTGTGAATCTCGATTCACTGCAGTGAATACATATTCAGTTATGTGAGGTGTTTGTTTTTTACCATAAAAATCGTAACTTTTTGCTGTAAAATGTGAAATCTTTTCATGGTTTAAAATTTTATAGCTTGATGATAGGAAGTTTGTCGAATCAAAAACTTTTGCTGAGCTTGATGATAGGAAGTTTGTTGAATCAAAAACTTTTGCTGTAAAGGGCATCCAATTTAAAATTTTGTTGTAAAGGGTAAAATTGAAGTGAAGTGAATCGATGTTCACTGAACTAAATACTCTTGAACTAAATACAAATTTGTATTTAGTTATCGATGTTCACTGAACTAAATACAAATTTAGTTTAAGTAAAAGTCATGTTTTACGTACTCTTGAATTAAATTGGAAATCACAGATTTAGTTTTTTTTTTGCAGGGAGTTGATAAACCTATGTGACTAGACACTGGAACAATGAATACGACGGGATGAATCTGATTTCACTTCAGTGAATCTCGATTCACTGAAATGAATCTACTTCAGTGAATCTCGATTCACATCATTGAATCGAGATTCACTGTAGTGAATCTCCGTTCATCCATGCCATCCACGTACAAACGCAAGTCTTCTGAAGTCTAATGAAGAGAACCTATCCCATTGGATCCATTGTTTCACTTAAGATTCATTATACATTAATTTTATTGAATATTGATTTATATTGTTTACATGTAACTCTAAAATAGTTGATTTATGTTTGCCCACTATCTGGATTTACCTGTACAGATGTAACATTATAATATTCAATCTAGATTAAATCTCAATTCAGTTTTTGATTCATCAATGGTGAATTTATGTTCATTGATATAATCATTCTTGTTTATTTTTAGATTTAGGCAGCTAAGATGTAAACTCAAGTCATTTCAGTATCGGATTTGGTAAAAATTTTAAAAATTGTATTGGATAGTTGTGAAACCTTAAAAGGCTATAACTTTGTGTACCAGCGTCGTATTGAGACGATAATTCAAAAAATACCTCTATCATGCAAAATGGAGGATAATTTGGTTTATTTGGTTTTAGTCAAACCGAATCACAAATTTGACTTCACCGTAAAGATACAAACAAGATAACGTCATGTTGAGGTTACAGTTATTCAAAATAACTCATAAATTGTCGACAGAATCGAGATCCATCGTTATGAATTTAGATTCAACTAGTTATATTAGAATAAGAGTTGAACATGATAATCCATAAATATACAAACTAAAATAACTTTTGCATTAATCAACAGTTAACGACAAACTTAGATTTGGTAACACAGTTTAAAGATATAGTAACTAATCATCAATTTTTTCTCAGTTTTGAACCCTTTCTTGATCCTTGTTTGACACTAACAAATTCATCGAATCTCGATTCACTGAAGTAGTGAATCGAGATTCACCTCAGTGAATCGAGATTCACTGAAGTGAATCTCGATTCACTTCACTTCAAATAGTCACTGATGTGAAAGAAACTTCATCCCTTCGTATTCATTGTTTCACAGGCATGTCTCTTCATAAAATAAGAGCAACAAACAACCAATGAATCCAGATTCACTGGAGTGAATCCAGATTCACTGGAGCGAATCCAGTTTCACTCCAGCGAATCCAGTTTCACTCCAATAGCAGCACAACAGCACAGCAGCAGCAACACAGCACAACAAGACCACCAACTTGTGAACAACAATTAAATAAATATTAACTCTAACTTGTGAACAATAATTAAATAAATATTAACTATATATGACTCTCGATTCACTCCAATGAATTCAGATTCACTGTAGTGAATCAAGATTCACTGTAGTGAATCAAGATTCACTGAATTGAATCTAGATTCACTGGACTGAAACTCGTTATCAAACAATAGCAAATCTGCAAAAATAAAAAACAAAAAGAATAAGAATCGTCGTGAACAAAAATAAACAAACAAGACAGGAATTTTTCTTTTTTTTAAGAGAAGATTTTGGCGGTCAAGGGGCTTCGTCGACGGCGTCGAGGGGCTTCGACCAGCTCGAAGCTGGTCGAGAACGACGTCGAGGGGCTTCGGCGTCGGCGTGGGCTCGTCGATGGTCTTCGACGGCGAGCTCGTCGAGGGTCGTCGGGGCGTCTGCGTGAGCTGGAGCGTCGGCGTGAGCTTGAGCGCAGGGGAAGAGAGAGAAATGGGGAAGTGAAAGGACGCTTTAGAGAAATGTGTTCTTCATCATCTCCAGTTTCCAATGTTGCCAGCAACCATTGTAGTGAATCATTCCCATTTTACCCTTTTCACAATAAATTTTACAGCTGATGTGTATTAGATTTGTCTATATTTTCAATTTTGCCATCGAAATGTAGACCATTGGATTAGATAGATTGGATGGTTAGGATAGGTTTTTAGTTTTTAAGGTTTTCATTAGAACCTCTCCCTATATATATATATATATATAGAGAGAAGTTTTCGGATGCGAAAGAGTTTTCGCATCCCAGCTGTGCGAAAAAGAGATCCAGCCTTTCATTTTTGGTGAACTCCCCTGGCCGTTGGATTTGGGCCGCAATTCCCAAGAGAAGAAAATTCTCCTTCTCTCCCCAGAACCCAAGCTAGTCTCTCTTCCCAACTCCCTCTCTTCTACCCTTCTCGTCTCTTCACGCCGTCGAGCTCGACCGACAACCCATCCTCCGCCTTTAGCCACCGACCGACAACTTGTTCGGTGACTTCGTCCTCCCCAGATCTCGACCCGCTCCGAGCTCACCTTCGGTTACTCCCGTTCTCTCCTTCTCCGGCGAACGGATCTCCACCGCCGATCTCTCCCTCAAGTCCGCCCCCTCCCCCCACCGCCCGCTCCGTCATCCACCGCGGCATCATCGCCGACCCTCGGCCTCATCTGCGACCTAAGGTATTTTTGGAGGATTTAAGTAGTGCCCTAAGGTATTTTTGGAGGATTCAACTTTTGCTTTCCCCCAACTCTGGCAGAGAACTGTCATAACACACAATATGGAATTCCCTAAGTGAATATTTTCTGATAATTATCTGGCATATTAGCCATTAGACATCCACAGTTATATGAATTTTTGTCCAGTTGAATTTTACATATGAATTTTTGTCCAGTTGAATTTTACAGTTATATGAATTTTTGTTACTTCTTTGCAGTTGGGGTGAAAGCACTGTTTGTTATTATTGTTGTTGCTAATGGAACCGTGGAGCACCATGAGAGAAGGAGCTGATATGCAAATGAGAGTGCCACAGTTGCCTATGTAACTCAGCTTATCAACAATTTTCATCCAAAAATCTATTTTCAATATTGACATCTTTTTTCTTTTTTTCTCTTTTTTTTCCTGGTGCGTGGAAAATCATGCAAGGAAATTGGAGATATGGTCTCTTCCGTAATGTAGCCAGGTCTTTTTGTAGTGGGATTTGTGTGATGCAATTCTGTAATGTAACCACACCAGACGCACATTGATGAAATTTAAGATATCTACAGTCATCAGTATAATTGTAAGAGGTGTTAAACACTGATATGTGTTATACTTATCTCGCAGTTTGAGGATGTACAATACACTGGTGGAAAGATGCTTCACCGACTGCGTAGACTACTTCAAGCGCAAGTCGCTGGACAAGCAGGAAGAAACATGCGTCCGCCGATGTGCAGAGAAATTCTTGAAGCATTCGATGAGGGTCGGCATGCGATTTGCAGAACTCAACCAGGGTGCTGCTACTCAGGACTAATTTTTGCTTAATGTTTCGATAGAATGCTATTATTGGCTACCTGATGGACCGTGAATGTGCAGAATTATTATATATGAATGTGTAGAAATGGGAAGCTACCTGGTTTCAACGAAGACTGGAAGCTACCTGGTTGCTGTGCACAAATGCCATATGGCTTTGAGTTTATTCTGTAATGGAAGCTACTTGGAAATTTGTGTGAAATGTACTATTGTTGTTGGTATTCTCATTAATGTAGACTGGAACATGTGTTGGTATTGTTGTTGTTGTTGGTATTGTCATGAATGCTTATGCACTATTGTGACTTATGATCAAGTGGAAGGGCCAGGTTGGAACATGAGTAGTTTATATTTATCGAATATTAGGAGATACAGTTTTTTTGTAAATGTTCTTGAGACTTGTGATTACTTTTACATGTGTTAATGCTATGGTTCTGTAGCATGCTGGGTAAAAATTAATGTTAAAAGAACTGTAAGTTCCTATCATGTCATCTTATTTGGCTTGTTTGAATTCTCATATTTTGGTGACAGAAAAATGAAGTTGCATGGTTTTCACTATCATGATTGCACTAGCTAATATGGCACTCAGATAATTCATCAGATAATTCATCTTTGGGCAAGCTTTGATTAGTGGATATGTGCCTTTGTGCAGAAAGATTGCTTTGAAGTTTATGCTTTAGTTCCTGGGCTTCTGCGTGAAAAGGTAATTATAACAATGCAAACTCTTTTCAGCAAACTCAAAGGATATTAGGGAAAGGTATACCAAATAATTATAACAGCTAAACCAATTTCAATAAGATATTTAGATACATCAGTCATTCACTAATATATTTCTCAGTCATTTGACTATAACACAGAGCAACAATATCAGTACACCGATACTTACAAATTTCAAATATAAAATTATATCATTCAACAATTTTTTCAAAACCACAATAACATTTTCTTTGAACTAAACCCTCATCTTCTTCTCCACCGAACTCTTCGGAAAAGTTCTTCATCTTTTATCTACAAAAAACATACCACAAACAATACAATAAGTATACGACATCTTTAAAGCTTAATCTACCAAATATATTGTAACGAAATTGTTTTGCTCCAGTGTGTTCCTATTAATAGATAAAGAATCAATGGATTGATGATCCTGGTGGAGATCATTTACATGAGCTAGGATAAGTAACATTGAATGCATGTGGTCTAAACTAATAGGATAAGTAACATTGAAGTTACAGAAGCTAGCCAAAATATATCATTTTTTATATTAAGATATGCATAGATATTCCATATACTACAACGTGACATATATATTGTGGGCTTTGGATGTGCATGATGCACTCAAATCTGTGTCGTGTGCATATATAATTGACCTAATAAGAGTAAACTTGACACAACAGGATTTCCAAAGCCTTTGCTTCCAAGTGTAAAATCCTGAAGTCAATCCAAACATCGAACATGTACTTGTGAAGTCTCTGGTAGTATATAATGCGAGGATAGTTGAGTAAGAGATAAGTTTTTCCTTGAAGCATTAGAAATGATCTCAAAACCTAATACCGAAGCATTGTTAGAGCAGCAGGAACACTAGGATGGTTGGCAGGATGATAGACTTCTTGAAAAGTCGTTAGAATGATAAAACCCTCACACTAGTTGGAAGTATACAAAATTATGGATAGGATGTTTATATCCTAAATGAACAGAGTATGTAATATCCAAGAAAACATTCTCACATGGGATATGCACTTCACTAATTTTTTTCTATATAATAATTCATATGGGATCTACATTCTCCATGATAGAACAGATAACAAATTTCATGAAAGATATGCTAGGTGGATTTTTTCAATGAAAATGCTTACTTCAATGGATCATCCACAAAATCCATCTTTAGTTCCAATTACATGTATCAAGGTCTTTGGTTCAATCAATATATTCACGCCCTTGTCCTCAACCAACTCATCAAATTTGCCTTTCTCATCTGTCCAAAAAAAATTCAGAGCAATATAGGTTGGGTTTTTCATCAAGGAAATAGTAAATTATATGATTTCAGGAAGGAAATAGTAGGAGATACATCCTTATGGTTTAGATTGAAAGATGAAAATGGCTCAGGGGCATGTTCAACCTAATAATTTGAAATTTTGCTCCAAAAATACCTTAGGGCACTACTTAAATCCTCCAAAAATACCTTAGGTCACAGATGAGGCCGCGGGTCGGCGATGATGCCGCGATGGATGACGGAGTGGGCGGTGGGGGGAGGGGGCGGACTTGAGGGAGAGATCGGCGGTGGAGATCCGTTCGCCGGAGAAGGAGAGAACGGGAGTCACCGAAGGTGAGCTCGGAACGGGTCGAGATCTGGGGAGGACGGGAGTCACCGAACAAGTTGTCGGTCGGTGGCTAAAGGCGGAGGATGGGTTGTCGGTCGAGCTCGACGGCGTGAAGAGACGAGAAGGGTAGAAGAGAGGGAGTTGGGAAGAGAGACTAGCTTGGGTATATATATATATATATATATATAGAGAGAGAGAGAGAGAGAGAGAGAGACAGATGTTTACACATGCTGTAATCACTTTTTGATATGTATCGCGCTTTATTTGTGCGATACAAAAATATGTCTTATGGAGATAAAAAACGTATCATAATTTATAACTTTCGTTGTAGGGATCCTTGCAATAAAACCAAAAATACATCCTAGTGGAGTGGATAATGACAGAGCTAATGAGAAAACCAGAAGTCATGAAAAAAGCACAAATGTAGTCAGACATCTCATCGGAACCAAAGGAAAAGTAGAGGAGAGCGATCCTAACCAACTCCACTACATAAAATAAAATTAGTCGTAAAGGAGACGCTAAGACTGCACCCTCCAGGTCCAATACTAGTCCTAAAGGAAACAACCCAAATCAATGGCCACGACATCCGCGGCAAGCCAAAGTTGTTCACGGCGACGAGACACGACGAATCGCAAGAGATGATACGATGCTTTGGGAAATCCTGAAGAGTTTTATCCAGAAAGATTCATCGATAGTACTCCTGTCGATTTTAAAGGCCATCGTTTTGAGCTCACACCTTTTGTTGAAGGAAGAAGATTTTGTCCCGGAATGCAAAGTGGTATATATGCAGGTTTTGATCTCGTGCTTGCTAATCTTCTCTATATTTTTTATTGGGAGTTGCCCAGGACAATGGCGAAGGGGGAGTTGAATATGGATGAATCCCCCGGGCTTAATGTCTCTAAGAAAGTTGCTCTCTGTCTTGTAGCTAGAAATTAAATAATAAATATTCCAAATGTGTGATTTTCATAGTTGATAATAGGATGAGTCCAAGTTTAATGATGGATGTTTCAAATTAATGTGTGATTTTCTTGAAATAAGATTGTAAACCTATGCCGACAATTATTTTATGAAAACTTGCTTGTGCGAGAAAATTTTCTCTGAGTTGTCAATTTATCTTTAAACTCTCTTTAAATCCTAATCATCCCCACCCCCACCCCCCACACAAAACCCCACCACGAAAAAAACAAAAAACCAAGTGATTTGTTTTCTGTAGTGGTCGGAGATGCTTGATTAGATAGATCTAAGGTTTTGATTTAGCTGTTATATATCTTAATTCTTCAGACAGTTTTCACTCATTAGCAATGATCGTGTCCGGATATTTGACAAAGTATGAATAGTTTTGGTGTAAGTTCTCACCCCTTTGGTGATGTAAAATTGAAATTTTTGTATTCGTATAATTGTATCTATAATTGATTATCGTTATTACTAAGATCTTATTGCATGTTTATTCATTGCATTATCTAGGTTGCATTCTCACTTTAGGGATTGAGTGCTATTAATTAGGTTTTATATTCATATTTAGTCGCATGCATGTAGTTGTCATCCGTGTAATTGCTTAAGTTCACACTGAAGCGTGCATGTAGTCCTACATCCGAAGTAATTGCATATTATATTAGTCTGATATATGATTTTAATTTGTGAAATTGCACGGTGTCATGATGCAGGAATGTGAACTTTTTTATGTTACTTTTCTTTTTGCATAAACAATTTTATATCTTAGAATACCAAATATTTTCTATTTGTAATTTCACGAGCGACGAGTTGTTACATTTCTAATGCAACTTTTTTAACAGTACTGACACATATAATAGCTAGAGTTCATCATTATCTTTTTAACTAAAGAAAGTTTGCCATTATCTTCTTAAATGTTAACTAATAACCAGATACAAAGAAATTTGGGCATGCCTATCTTGTAATAGAATTTTACATCCAATGATATTAAGAACATCGTTTAAATATAGTTCATCCCATTCCTAACATGATGCTGTCGCGTATACAGGAGGAAGATTACTTTCTATATTTATGTTGGCCTATAAAGTAAAGAAATTTATGTAGGCAATCATCTATCATTTCACTTATGTGATGTCAAAACAAGTACAATTAATCGACTAAAACTATGATGTTAGTTCTGCTAGAATTAATCACAGTCATTTAAGTATTATTGACAAGTATATTTGAAATTTTTAATTCATAATTTCTTATTGCATGCAATTCATGAGGAAAACCCCATATTTTTTGGCTTGCAGTGCATAACTGCATAATCTCGTTATCCATATTCAAGAATTAATGAATGCTATGCAGACCAACAAAAAGAGCCAACAAGCAACCTTACTGTTTTCATAAAGTTTTTTTATACTTACCAATATTCTAGTGCATGTGATGCGTGTATAATGCAATTCACTAGCATAACAAATTCTTTTGTTAACACCCTGATAACTTGAATAAAGAACAAATACTTACATAATTTAAACTCTCCCTAACATATATAGGAGTTTTGTGGTGTTAAATGGACTTTGGATTTTTGCTATGTGCAATTATTTTAATGTGCAGGGGGTAATGGGTTGGTTAAGAGTATTGGTTTAGTTATGGAAGTAATAGTTGGTCTTTTTCCAAGTTTGCCCTCAAACTAATTTTCAAGTTATAAATCAAATCTGAGAACGTTATGGGGTTTTTGAACATGAAGCTCACAGGCCCTAAAACCTGGCTTTTCTTAGATAGCAGTATAGATAATAGTGTTGGGATTTTTAGATCATGCAAAAACACCCAAACATCACTAAACACAGCAAATAGAATCACACACAAGATTTAATATGCAAAACTCTCAACAGGGAAAACCACTTGATCGAAAACAATTCACTATCACCTCCAAATTATAATCTTTTGCATGAACAAAGACTGTGAGACCCTCTCACTTACGATACACATGCAACCGGTTATACTCTCTGTTAAACCCTGATTACAAGAATATTCTCTCTTCTCTGCTGTTACTTAAAACCCTAGGTTACGGTGCCTTTTTATAGACGTCTCTCTTGCCCACCAATAAAACTACTAGGACTAGAACTAGCCTTCAAATCTGGATCCAACTTAGGGTTTGAGTTTGGCACCCAACAAATAGTGTTGGGTTTATGGAGCATACAAACAAACGCACGTGCACAAGAGGAGCACGAGCAACAAGAGGTACAAAGCATTTACGTGGTTCATCCAAAATGAAACTTGAAACCTTCACTCACCTCACGTCACTCGAAGAATCTGGGAACATTGGTCATTTAAGAGCTCTAAGAAGATCCTCCATCTCACCAAGAACGGCCTTCTCAACACTAGCACATCCTTTTTAATAGGTTACTAAGAAAAGTTTAATAATAACGGATCATTTTATCTTCTTACGTATTAGCATTCCCACCATTCTTGCTCTCCAACATTGACTAGCCTTTCTTTCTTAATTTGTCAAAGCCTTGCATTCATCTTTATCGTTGAGATTCGGAGAGGTGGGGGAAATGTTGGTGCATAACTTCACTGAAAATCATACTCCCTTTAAAAGCACGAGTTCGGAAAATCTTTTTTAGACAAATATACCCCTTTATAGTTTGAACTACCTTATCTATAATCAAATTCTAATTTTCAATGGTCAATATTACCCTTCATTATTTTGAATATTTTATTTATATCTTAATCTATCCTAATCATAATCATATCTTATCCTAATCCTATGTGAACCATGTTTAGCTTAACAATTTAAAAAAATTAATATTAATAAAATATATAAAACATAAAAATGATATTAGTTTGTTAAGATAAAAAAATTACAAGTAGATAACATATTATAATACATGAAGTATTGCAAAAAAACCATAAAAAGTTCTAAAATTGTAGAAAACACCCTGAAAAGTTCAAAATTATAAAAATCATCCCAATGTCTCAAAACTTAAAATAAAAAACATGAAATTAAAAAATTAACATCAGTTTGCAAAGAATTTAAAATTTACAGTTAACACCTCAATGTCTCAAAAATTATAGAAACACCATCAAAAGTTTAAATTACAGACAAGCACATTAAAATTCTAAAATTTTAAAACTTACAAACAACACAGATGAATTCAAGAGATTACCATGATACACCTAAAATTTTTGACATTTAAATTTAAATTTTTTAATTAACACCCTCAATATCTCAAAAATTATAGAAACACATTCAAAAGTTCAAATTATAAAAAACCACCCTAAAATTCTAAAATTTGTAAATAACATAAGATGAATTCAAGATATTACCCTTAGACACCTAAAAAATTAAAATTTGCCAAAATTAACCTCAAAATTTTTAAAAAACTCCTTCAAAATTTAAAAATCGTAAAAAAAAACTCTAAATTTTCAAAAGTTTTAACTAGCACACATCAAATTCGTCGATTGGTAGACCGCTAAAATTTAATATTTTTCAAAATTAATCTATAGTTTTAATAATTACAAAAGACACCCTCAAAATTTTAGAGTTACAAGAAATATACTAACATTTAAAAAATTACCACCAACACATGAAACATAGAATTTACAACTACCAAACTTAAAAATAAATTTTTTTAAAAACTCTTTCAAAATTTTAAAAATTATAAATCACACCCTCAAAGTTCAAAACCATATATATATATATATATATATATATTAAAATTTCTAATTTAGGGATTTACTATCCATTTTCAGCATCTAAGAATAGTCTAAGTTGATACTGGTAAACAAAAACAATAAGAATTGATTAAAAACATCCGGTTAATGGATAAAATTTTTAAAAATATTATAGATTAAAAATTATCGGCACTATATAAATTAAAGTAATTTCATATAATTTTAGTAATAAGTTGGGGTAGCCAAAATACATTCGTAACATTAATTGATAGATGTTTAAATCCATAGAAATGATAAAACACTATAATATTATACCTTAGCATTAATTGATTTTAATTTAGAAACTTTAATCTTTGACGTTAATAATATTTATAGGGTAAAAGAATACAAGGAATTACATATGGAGAAACTATTAGAATATTTAGAGATAACTTTAAAAGAATTGAGTTATTTCCATTGCAAATGGGAAAGTGATGGAAATAAATCTAAAATTCAGAAAACGTCAATGAATCACTTGAATTGGCATTAACATAAGACATATCTATTAATGAAGCACTGAATGAGTTACATTAAAAAATAATTTAATAACTTTATCCTAATCAAAGAAAAAATCTCCATGGAAGACATAAGAAAAATTAGTAAGTATTCATAAATTCCATACTGTGTTCTTCAAATTAAATATTAATATTATAATCTAAGAGAAATTGGTAATGAATAATGCAGGTATTTAGTTTAGATCTTTATGGAAAATGACAGGGATAGAGCAAAGGTAATATTATTGAAATAACAGAAATTCTTATTGGATGCACATCAGAAGAATTCATTTTAGAGGAAAATAAAGAGATAGCTTCTAATTTATTTAAGTAATAAATTAGGAACACAAAGAATTTTATATATATGAAATTAATATTTATTCTCATTGAAATAGAAAAAAAATCAAAGTCTATATTTTGAGCAGTTTGTGTTGAACATCATAAGTACATTTGACTTCTTTGTAAAGTTAAATGAGATGATAAAAAATTAACGAGCCAGGAAAGATAATAGCATAAAAAAATACAAAATTAGCCTGATGTCACAATTGATATAGATGATGAAGACAATACTCTAGAATTGCCCGAGAAATGATAAATGATAAACCTGAAGAAGGATTGATCTTAACTCAATAAAAAATAAAATAGAAGAAATAAAAAACAATATTTTCTGAATATTTTATAGGATAGTTTAATTATTTTGAGTGAAATTAGGAATCTTTAAAAGGGAGTTTCATGAATTTTTTTAGTACTTTTATATTCTTATGTGGATGTTTTTATCATATAAAAGTATACTAGAGTTAGTATTAATCTTTAATTTATATTTTTTTTATGAAGTCTATCAATGATTAGGAATAAACTTCATATTCTCTTTTGCATCGTTTTAACATACTTTAAATCAATTATTTTGTCATATTGATTTTAAATATTCACCTTCCTTGTATAACACTATTTTAATATTTTTTACTTTGCAATGCTATACTTTCTCAAATAAAGCTTAGTTTCATATCAGTCAAAAATAATATGAAAATTCAAATTATTTTTAAATTATATTTGTTTTTTTTAATTCAAATATCAACATGAAAATTTAAATTGGGTGTATCTCATTTAAACAAACATAAAAAATAATCGGGATGTAAGAGTTTAAAGAAAAAATGAGCACAAACTGCCAAAAATACTTAATCATGGTATTAAATCACGTGCATTGCACGTGTGTAAAAACGAGTCTATTTAAAAGGTTTAGAATTGTTATTATATAATTTCCATTTACGACACATACTCAATGGGCTAGAATTATATTCGAGGCCCACGGACCCAAGCCCGCTAAGAAATAAAGGAAGTGAGTGAGTTTTGACACCCGGTTTCTCCTCTTGCAAAAATTTGGAAGTGGAGCTCCGGAGGGGAGTGAGTGAGAGCGATGGGAAACCCTCGACCTCCATCGAAGAAGCGCAGCGGCAGAGGAGGAGGAGGAGGAGGAGGAGGAGGAGGCTCGAGCGAATCCGATCTCCATGCTGCAGCGAGATCCGGAGACATCCAGAAAGTGGAATCCATTTGTAACTCGAACCCGCTCGCCGTCAGTTCCAGAGATAAACACTCTCGAACTCCGTATCCTTAATTATTTCATTTTTTTCTTGGTAACTTTTTAGGGTTTCTATATGACTTTCATTTGTTGCTCTTCATTCTATTCACTGTATTTACTCGGAATCCTTTAAGAGTTTTAGTTCCTGGTTGCCTTGAGATTTAGTGTTATCTGGGCTTGTTGAATCCTTGGAAATTTATGTAGAACTCAATTGGAATAGTATTATTTGTAGCTTAGGGTTTTAGGATTTTCATTCCTCGGCCACTTATTGCCGCCCTCTTTTTGAACTATGACACGAATTTATTATCCCCCCCCCCCCCCCCTCGTTGCGAGTTGAGCTAGGCGTTTCGCAGCGGTAGATCTTTGATAGTAAGTTGAATGGCAAAATGGCCAAATTGGTATATTTTATAGACACTAGGTGACAGACTGGTATATTTTTTTGGGTTTGGACAAAATGGTATATTATATAGACTCAGGCGCCATATACCCCTCAAGTTTGGCCGGATTGATTTTTCCGGCCAGTTTTCTCACGTGACTGCTCACGTGTTAGCGGGATTTATTGCGCAAAACCCCCTCAATCTAAACTCAATCTCAATTTATTGCACAAAACCCCCTCCATCTAAACTCAATCTCAATTTATTGCACAATACCTCCTCCAACCCCTCTCTGCTGCTTGATGACATTCTCCAAATACCACCTGTAAGTCTCCTCCAACCCCTCTCTCAACCCGATCTTTGCACTCCACCCCATCTCAGCCAGCTTCGAGCTATCCATGAGCTTCCTCGGTGTCCCATCAGGCTTCGACGAGTCCTAAACCAACTTCCCTTCAAACCTAACCACTTCCTTCACCAACTCTGCAAGCTCCTTAATAGTCCCAAACCAACTCCCTTAACGGCGAACCAAAGCAGGTAACGGACAAAAGACCAAGATGGGTTCAACCACACCCAGCCTTTGTTCCCTATTGCTCCTAAATCAACGTCAAAGCTCTTCAGTCAAGTCTCTCATAATTTTCTTTTTTTGGTTCTCAGTCACTCCAAAGGAAATTAGGAAGAAGAAAAATAAAAATGAAGGAAAAAAACTAAAGGTAGAAGCACCAAAGGACTGATCTTTTTCTAAAACAGAACCGCGACAACAGAGGCACGCCAAGAGATCAAAATTTGAGAAAATCAACCCGACCCAACCAACACATTCTCCACAAAACCCATCAAATTCCCTCGCCAGAAACAGCAGATCAAAGTTTGAGAAAATAAACTCAACCCAACTAACAACAAATCAGGCTCATAGAGGATCAAATCGAGACCAAAACCGATGGGGTTTTTTATGGATCGAGATGGACCTTTAGCTCCGGCCTTCTGCTTCTCGAGGTTCCTCTCACGAGCCATCTTGGCCTTCTGTCTGTTGCCTCCCCCCATTTCCGACCTCGATGCTAAGGTTTTCTCATGAAATCTTCGAATCAAAGCAGGTAGCATATGGGAATATTCAGGGTGGAAGTTAACGAGGCCCCGGTGAAGCCTAGGGTTTTGAGGCGGCGGTAGATGGCTAGTCCGACGAGGCCCCGATGAGGGTAATTTACCTGCTGTCATTTTTTTGGGCAGAGACTGAGGACGAGATCGAGGGGGGTTGGTGATTGGATCCGATGAGTAAAAGAGAAAGGAGAAAGGAGGTTGTTTTTATAGTGGAGGGAGGTTTATGAGGGGGTTTTGTACAATAAATCCCGCTAACACGTGAGCTGTCACGTGAGAAAATTGGCCGAAAAAATGGATCCGGCCAAACTTGAGGGGTATATGGCGCCGGAGTCTATATAATATACCATTTTGTCCAAAGCCAAAAAAAATATACCAGTCTGTCACCTAGTGTCTATAAAATATTAAATATATTAATTTGGCCATTTTGCCTAAGTTGAATTATAGAATACTACTTAAAATGTTCCTTTAAACTATTAGTTTTGTCCCTCATTAACCCCGGAACTATTTTTAGTCCCTACATGCGCCCTAAATTCTTGATTTAGTTCTCTCCTTGCTGCATGGATTTTTTTTTTTTTTTTTAAGATCACCTTGCCTCCTAAGATATTAAATTCGCCTTAAACCGATGCCTAGTTACTGCTTCATTTTTTATTATACTATTTGTGTTTTAAATGGGATTGTGAGAGAAAAGTGATATTTCAGGGGGTTAGATTGGGCTTAAAATAGGCAGGCAACAAATTTAATAGCTTAAAGGGCGTCTAGGGACCAAAAAAATAGTTCAGAGGTAATAAGGGACAAAACCAATAGTTTAGGGGGCAAGTAGGGACCGTATCCAGATGAAGTGATTTTTTTTTTTTTATTAATACATGCATCCAGTTTTAGTTTTTGCAGTGAGGATTCAATGATGTGATGACGTTATTCGGGATTTCAAGCTAAGAATACTTAGCTCTGGAATTTGGTCGGATTAGTTATAATAATTATCTAATATGTTACGGAAGAAAATTGTCATTTATTAAGTGAGAACTGGAGAGGCTACAGCCTATGGGTGACCATTAGTAGCAATGGAAGCAAATAAAATGGTAATTATCTTATAAGGTCTTTGTGACGTATCTTTGTTAGGCTTACAAGGAATTAGATGGTTATGCCTTGCTTCTTTGTTCTTTTTAAATTATGATTTGAACTCTATTTTTTAACGGCTGTAGTAATTGTTTTACTTTAGTGGTGTTATTGTCATGATTGTAGAAAGAGAATTCAATGCTTGGTTGTTATGAGGCTATTAGTGTCTTTAAAGGGTGATAATTTTTTATTAATAGAACTGTAAGCATTTTTTTAGGAATAGTATTTACTAGAGCTTATTTTTTTGCAAGTTGTGTATCGTTTTGTGTATTCTATTGGCTTGTATTTTCTTTAAAACCATATTCAATTGGGAGTATAGTTTTTTTTTCCTAAAGAGCAGACAAGATAGCATACAAAAACTGAATGACAACTTGCTAGGTGCACCATAGGTACAAAAACTGAATGACAACTTGACTTTTGAGGAGCCTCACCAGTCAGGTAGCTAATAACTGCTAGGTGCACCATCTAGACAATGAAAGAATTTAATGTAGGATCACTTCGTTTGAGACAAAAAAAGTTTCTTTTGAATGAACTAAGTGGACTAGCAGTTGATATTATTACAATGCCATAGTTGAGACTGTGAGAGAAGTTATGAGATGACTTTCTTGATACAAGTGGGTGTACCATTGTCTCTATCCTTTTTCTCTTTATTATGGTGTTTAAATTCTCCATGTGTTTTGCTGTTATTACATGTTCCCTGATATGTCGTATAAGCCTACCTCATGGTACCTGATTCCTAATAAGTAGCATATCATGCTCCTGTGCCCGTCCTGTGAACCAGATTGAACCGGGTTCCATGCTACTATTTGAAAGTTAAACAGGTGTGCTGCTGTCGAGAAATTAGAAAATGCATCTAGGTTTCGATACTTGAATCTTTTGTGAATATGTAACTTTGAAGAAAGTGATGATAATCTGGAAAGAGGTTCATCTAAGAGACAGCAATGGCAACAGCAGCCTTCTCTTTCATACCTGGGTAGCGTGATTTTTTACTTATGAATTTAGGTTCTGAAATTCAGTTGAAATTTGTATGTTTATGTAAATGTTGACCTGAAAGAAATGTTTCGAAATTCCTAGTTAAAACTGACAGTAACACAAACTATTTTTTCCGATATTTTCCAAGACTAAAATGTACAACATGATAACAGATGTAGATCATTAACTACAAAATATGTGCTGACTTCTTTAAACATTCTTGTTTTGTTTCTTTTTTCAAAAATTATTAGAAATGTAATGGATTACTTTTCTATGGTAGCTTGTAAAATCATAGCAAATTCATTGGTTGTAAGTTCGACAATGAAGTTTTGTCCCTCATGTTTCTTTAGTTAATCTTTCTGTCTGGACTATAGGATGTTTAACTTCTTTTGGTAGAGTAATATCTACGTAGTGGGAATTTAGATCTGCTCCTCAAATTGTAGGACTGTTTCAGTAGAAATTTGCTTCATGATGTTATTCTTGTTTCTCATATTGTCATCATTTCCTTTCGGCCAAGAACAAATGAAAATCTTCCTTTAATGCCATTCAGAAGTGTCTATATAATATCTAGTTTGTTTCACATAAATGACGCTCCATCTAGTTTCATCTGATCTTTTATGTATATAACACTGGCCTTGATTCTTGGGAGCGCGACTACAAATCATCCTGTGACATCTCCTTGACATAAAATTGTGAAAATTTAGACTTCATCTGGCAGCTTGGTCCGGTCAAAAAGAAGTGGTTACTTGTCTCTGCAAGCACAAGGCTGATGTCGGTGCGGCTGCAATGGATGACACGGGTGCTATCCATTTTGCATCGCAGAAGGGTCATCTTGAAGTAGTTAGAGCTCTTCTTGCTGCTGGTGTCTCTGTCAAAGCTGCCAACAGGAAAGGCCTCACTCCTCTTCATTATGCTGCTCAGGGATCTCATCTTGAACTTGTGAAATATTTAGTAAGAAAAGGCTCAAACCTCAGTGCCAAGACCAAAGCCGGCCAAACTCCTCTAGACCTTGCCAGCAGTGAAGAAGTTCGGTCGTTTTTGGTAGAGCATGAGCAATCATTAAAGAAAGTGGATGAATCTGCTGCAAGCAAAAAGGTTGATAACTCTGAGAAGCAGCAGCAATCTCTTACCAAAGATACTGAGATGAGCTCTGACGCTAAAGAGGAAAAGGGTGATGGGAGGGAGAAGAGGAAAGGAGAAGAGACTGCTGAAGGAAGCTTCGAAGGATCCAAGAAGGCCAGAGTTTCTCTTCAACATCTAGTTGCTGAGGACGATGCAGAAGATGGAGAGGAACAATAGAACTTGTATACGTTTTTCCCAACTACTAATACTCAATCTTGTCGATCTTGGAATAAGTTTTCCTTTGTTGAGGTAAGTTCTTGTGGATTAACTGTTTTGTATGATTATTAGCTGCTGACAGCTTGAATAGTTCACATCTCTGAACAATGATCCTTTTCATAACTAGTTTTATTGAGCTATTTGAAATCTTCCCCAGTGAATACTCTCTCTATTCCAGTTACGGATATAGTTTGTGAGCTAGTTTTGGGTAAAGTTACAGTAGTTGTATCTAAATTACATGATTTGTGACTTGTTGGAGTTCGGATGTGATTCCTGATGTATTGAGAACAGTGGAGGATAACTTAATTCAGTAAAGAAACAACAACAACAACATCCATCATCATCATCAAAAAAAAAATGCAATAACAATAACAATAACAGCATTACCGATTGTAATATAAATGAAAAATCACGTTTACTTACATAAATCATTTGCTAAGAAGACTTGTTTACATAAATTATCCAGTCCTCACGTACAAAATTGTGGTATGCCTACCAGCTGAATACAGTAGTCATCCGTACCAATAACCTAACGAAACTATACTGTACAAAATTGCTGCAAGCCTAGCAGCTGAACACAACGGCAAACCATGCCAATAGGCAATAATCTAACAACACGGCACAAAATTGCTGCGGGCATACAGCTGAATGTAACTTAATAATGCTAAAAATATAACTTTAGCAACCAAAGCTATATCCCATCTCCTGCCATGATTCTTCCTTCGACATCTCCCAACCATCGAAACCAACACTGCTCGTCGAGGAACCATTCATCAAGCCACTGCTCCACGATGCCTGAAAACTTGGATCAAAATCGTAAAAGCTGTTACAATGAGACCCTCCATCGCCATTTCCCATCAAAATGTCATTACCGAGCACCCCAGAAGAGTGCACTGGTGGATTTGGTCCAAGAGAATTCGGCGCAGAATCCATCTGAGGATACTTGAACCCAGTACTGTCATCATCATTTCCCATGAACTCTTGCAAAAACCCAACAATCTCCTGTTCAAAACTCCCATTCTGAAGCAATTGAATCCTCTCACTGACTGCCTTAAACTTGCTATCAAAACCAAGACTGCTCGTTGATGCACCGCTAATCAAACCAGAGCTCAATGGTGTGAGAAAATTAGAACCATAAGCATCAAAATTACTGTAATAAGCCCCTCCATAGCCGTTTCCGATCAATGCCTCATTGCCAAACATCCCAGAAGAATAACTTGGCGGATTCAATCCGAAGGAATTCAACTCAGAATCCATTTGAGGATAATTGAACCCAGCACCATCATTGCCATCATCCATCGACTCCTGCCCAAACCCAGTCTTCTCCTGTTCAGTACTCGCGTGCTGAAGCATTTGCATCCTCTCAGTGACTGACTTAATCCTACTATCAAAACCAACACTGCTCGTTGATGCGCCTTTCGTTAACCCACAACTCGATGGCCCCCGAAAACTTGGACCAAAACCGTTAGACATATTACGATTAGCCCCTCCACCGGCATTTCCCCTCAAAACTTCATCACCAAACGCCCCACAAGAAGGGGTCGGGGTGTTGAATCCGAAAGAATTCAACACAGACTGCGTCGAAGGATAACTCAATAGAGGCTTCTCGTGTTCTAAATTTCCATTCTGGAGCAACTGGATCCTCTCATTAACCACCTCAATCTTACTATCCAACTGTCGAAACTTTTCAGACATCATCTTGTTGATTTGCTCCTTCAGAAAGCTTTTTACGTCAAGCGTGTTCTTGTTGTCTGTGATATCTGCGCTGAGGCTCTGGTAGCTTGAGATTATGTCATGGGCTTGTTGACTGTCGCCAGGCCAGAAATCGACGTCTCCGGTGCTGGGATTGATGATTGTTGTCAAGAGCGGGACTTGACAGAGAGTCGAAAGCTCGTAGGCTTTTTTCTTCAATGCTTCCTTTCTTTTTCGATATGTATTGTTTCGATTGCTCGGGTTTGAGATGAAATTGAGCTGAACCTTCGATTTTGGACGACCCATTTTGATCTGATGATCACAGGATAAAGAAAATTAATAATTTGTTGCACTCAGAATAATACTATAGAATTAACAAGAAATTGATCATATTTTGGACAATTTTTCGCAAAGATTAATAATATAAACGAGAAAATTGTAAATATTCAAGATACTGAAAGTGCTCGTTGATGTATAATCTGTCAATTTCAAGAGCAACTAGCTTTAAAGTCGAAGCAAAAGAACCATCTTTTTCCCTTCAAAAAGGAGGAGCTGTTGCAGAAACTAATCAACTATGTGAATTGAGAAGGGAAGGGGGGGAAATGTAAAGTTTGCTAATTTTAATTGTAACAACTTTTAAAATCTCAGAAAAAGAACAACCATACATTATTTTTTTAAATGAAAAAAAGGGTTCTACCGTGAGAATTAACTCAAAAGAAAAGAGCTATCTTCGAGGTTCAACCAAAAAAAAAAGACAAAACTCTAAAATCTCTTATCTTGATTTAGCAAAAGGGGAAAATGAACAATTGAAAGGGAGAAGGAGAGGATTCTAAATTATGAAGAAAAAAAATTTGGAAACACATGGAAACAGTTCAGTCCTAATTATTACTCATTCTAATTCGGGGAGTAATCATTGTTCAAAATCAATAAAAAAAAATTGAAATTTACCTTTAAAGTTGTTACCTACATAAAAATGATTTTAATGACGAATACCCTCAAAAGAGAATTTCTTGATATGGAATCAAGAAGATATAAAGATGCTAATTTATAAACTTCGTTTATATTAAAAAAAAAAGGGGGTACATTCTACCAAAACCCAAGAACTTTCAGTGTCTTACACTAACTCCCACTAAGCACGTTAGATCTTTCATTTCAAGCCCTAGGCAGTAGGCACAAGCCCAGTAAACAGAGGGGCCTAGTCACGTTAGAAACTTGTTTTTGGGGCCTAGGCACAATTTTTCCTTTTTTGTTCTAATCTATGGGAGTAATTTGCAAAACGCAGAAAAAAAATTTCGAGAAAAACAAAACACGAAAATTTATTGAGAGTTTTCTGCAATTCTAAAAGTTATCATGAGTTTAGTGTGAATTTAAAAGTTATCAGGGGTTTATTTCAAAATGCTGAAAGTTCTTGAAGGTTTAGAGTAATTTACCCTAAAAATTCTTTTAGCAGCTCCAAAGTTGACATTTCAAAAAAAAAAAAAAGAACAGAAAAATAATAAGAAATATAAATTCATACAGACGCCAGCATGCCGCTGTTTTTTCATGTTGCAATTAAGACAAAAAGAAAGATCAGCATTGTTGATTTAACAGCTACAAGGTTTAAAAACATGGTAAAAAAGACAACCTTTAATTTTCTTTCTCATAAAACTAACTACCTTCAAACTTAATCAACTCATAAAAATATCTATCTTTAACGTTCAACGAGGAAGAACTGACTTTAGAGAACTTACATTGATCTCCGGAGTCCACTGAGAGAAGAGCAAGCAATTGAAGAAAAGGAAAAAGGTCCTTGTCTTCTTGAATAAAACCAAAATAATAATAATAATAATAATAATAATAAAGGTGATGTAGTTTGATTAGGATTAGGATTCACACCAAGGCAGGCCCATTTATGCTCTCCGCGAGGACAACCTAACATTTGACCACGGTTAACCGAAGATTTAATGGAAGATTTTGTTTCCTAAAATGGAATCTATTTAATTGTGACTCTGATTCGGGCGTTACCCAAAAAAGAATAGATCCGGTAAGTAATAGGGAGTCTCTTGGTATTTACTTAAATTATTAATAGCCTACCTGGAAGGAGAAGTAAACTTCTTAAAAGGAATATTTAAAAAACGGTTTTTCTATAGAGTGCCCATGGGCACTCTATAAAAGATGAGAGAGATAGAGAGAAATGAATGAGGAGGGGGGTCCCCTGATTTGCATTGGGATCTTGTTGATGCATGCATGTATTTAAAGGCAAAGGATGAGGGGATGAGGAGCTAACTCGTGGATTAATTTTTTTTATTTTTATTTTTATTTTTTATTTATTGAGTAGTTGGTGGTTTGGATGTTCTCTTTCTTTCAGTATAAAAGTGAAACGTTTGAGAATGCATACATATGATATACTGCTATAAGTTTTAGTTTAAACTTGTGATCTTTATTTCTCATTTCAGCTTTGAATTTTGTGCATTGAAAGAGAATTTAAGATGATATATACTATGCTTAAATAGTATTGGAGTAATCTAAGCTCAAATTCCATTGACCGAACGCTCAAATCGAAGCTGATTTAAATGGTTATTGTCAACATTGCGTGGATATAAATTTTCATTCATGAAAAAAACGCTCAATCTGTAAAGTAATGTTAAGAGTATATAATTGTAGTGCACAATTTTCATCATAAGTTTAAAGTTTTCATGAGAAGTAGAGAGTTATAATTATACGGTTTTTCTATAGAGTGCCCATGGGCACTCTATAAAAGATGAGAGAGATAGAGAGAAATGAATGAGGAGGGGGGTCCCCTGATTTGCATTGGGATCCTCTTCTCATTCATTTCTCTCTATCTCTCTCCTCTCTTATAGAGTGCCCATGGGCACTCTATAGAAAAAACGTTTTTTAAATATCTTTAAAGGAATATTAGAAAAAGTTAACATTCATTAAAAAAAGGCAATCATTAAGAAAATGTTTGCATAAACTTCGTTCTATGAAAACATAGGAAGACGCAACTGCAAAGGGGGAGCAAAGAAATTGCAGCCCCACCCCCACAATCAGTTGAAGAGCGAGAAAACTATTCAACATGAAGAAACTTTTACCTTAAACTTGAGGGGGTTTTCACATAATACTTTTGAACTTTATTTCTATCATGTAACCGTGACTTTAAGAAATCTCTCAAAACCTTCTTTAACTTTGATCTTTTCTCAATAGACCTCTCTTAAACTTTAATTTGAAAATAATTAAAATTTCTTCGATTGAGAAAAATCCCAAAATTTATCATTGCTATTTATAGACAAATACAATGTACCCCTTCTCTAGGAATTTAGTTATTTATAAATTTACATGTAGGACACCCCGTGAGAAAAGGTTAAAGAGTTCAGAAAAGTTTTGAAGTTCAAGGGAGCTATGTGAGATGAACAAAGTTTTTAGTTCTAAAATTTACCCAATTTTTATCATCATATACACCCTAACATGTTTCCTTTGCTTTAGGAATTATAGCCAAAGGACAAGTTACATTTTTCATATTTCCGTATGTAGCTTTATTGAGTCAATCTTGTTTCCCTAGACCCTACTGTCATCTCACAAATAGCCAAAAATAAAATTTATGTAAATATTGGTAGACAGTGCCTTGCCTTATATAGACTTTAATTCTAAACTAACTTAAAATTATTCATTTTAGTAAACCCGAACACCATGTTCGTTTAATGAAAGCGGCAGTGTTTCGTTTGCTGCCAACGAAAAGATGACAGTGATCTATATATAAGCTCACTTCTAATATAAATAATACCATTATTCAATTACCAAGAATGCACTAATAAACAAAATAATAACATTTTCAATTACCAAAAATTACCACAAAACAGAACGTTCATGGCCTCGAAAACCGAGAATAAATAAAACCTGGACAAGTCGAGCAAAATTGTAGCTACAAAAAAAAGTATATCAGTTTTGCTGATATAAAAACAACTATAAATAAAATCAGCTCATCTCTCATTCTAAGCCCCCAATCTCAATATCCTGAGGCACAGGAGGTGGCCTGATGTACTCTTCCTCATCCTTCGGCATATGAATCGTAACGAGATCGGGCAATGGAGTCATAGGGCCCTGTTTGCCCTTTGGATCCCAAGCCAACATGATCTTCACTTTGATGCCTAGAACCCCCTGCACCAAAAATACAGTCAGGTTGGTCAGGGCACTAGATATAGACGATTCATTCAAGGGTTGATTGCAGGAAAAACTCCCAATGACATCGTCATTTTGAACTTACTACCCCTCTACTTTTATTTTTGTGGATGAATAGCTGAGTGAATTTTTTTTTTTTTAACTCTTTAATCTCAAGGAATATATTTGTCAAAAAAACATTTACTTAAAACATTCATATGAAATAAGTTTCATGGATCCCTTAGAAATTTATAAGAACCACTTGGCGATTCAAACTCAGTGTTACAAACACTAAATTCCATTTGTTCAAGTTTTGAGGATTCAAACCGAAAAAATCTGATGTATGGATAGAGAAATGCCAATTACGGATGGGCAATGGAAGTAGCAGAAGTTTGAACACTCAAATATGCATAGAGTTATCAGATACTGAGCCCAAACAACACATTGCGAAAGTTTTAGAAAACTGTACCGATTAGGGATGGTCAATGAAAGTAGTAGAAGTTTGAATACAAATACAAATCATTGTCAAGTGTACACGTAGATGCAGGGGATTCAAAAATAAATGAAGTCTGAAGATTAGACTTTGATAATAGATATTTAGATTAAAATAAAAGACTAACCTGCCTAAGAAGAACATGTCTAACAGCAGAGTCAATGTATTCATTGACCGGTTGGCCGGAGGAAATCATGTAACCATCCTTAAACTTCATTGACTTTGCACGTTGAGCCCTTAGCTTCCCACTGACAATGACCTGAAAGAAATAAACATTAACACATCAAAACGTGCAAGGTGATGTTCTCAACACATATTGATTTTCATCATCAAATGCTTCCCCTCTAAAATCAAAGATACTGATCATCTCTCTGGGCTCCCAAAACATTTTCTCTTATTAACGTAACTGACTAGAAATTAGTCCAACCTTAATCAGAAACGAACTCACCTCACATCCCTTAGCACCATTTTCCATAACAAATCGCAGAACTCCATAGCAAGCCCTGTAAGAAAACGTCTATTAAAAAAAGATGATGACACTATGTATAAAGCTTCTTTTGTTTTAGCTTTTAATTCAAACGACAAATCAGATCAATGAAAGGAAATACATCTGAAAAGTGGAGAAATTCCAAGCAATGCTAGTCAAAATGAATGCCTAACACCCATCTTTCCGAGATAACCTATTCGAAGGACATCAAGTTGCAGACTGCATGACCAAAATAACATTTACTGAACCAGAAAGATAGGTTTCAAGAAGTGCATGAGTTGAGACTCGAGATAGTATACCATTTATTGTCTGCTACTAATTTAATAAAAATTAAGAAGGCTACTCTAAACGAGACAAGTTCCGTCTTAAACCGAGGTTAACTTCCATATCCCATGTTGAAATATATACACCACAATTCATCAATTTGGAGAACGGAAACTCACTTATTGTGAGAAAATATGGTAAATAATCAAGTTTAGAATGTTATCGTGATTTTAATTATCAACATTCCTCATTAGCATGATCAAATGTCACTCTTGCACCAGGAAGTTACAATGTGAGATGAAATCAGTAGACAACTGATACGCTAAACCAATCACCTGTGGATTCATCTCTACGGTTGTCTGGCCGCTGCTCTAAAAGAGCTTTTCCTTTATGCACCTATCTTACAGTCCCTCAATACAAAGATAAGAGGGACAAATCTAATTGACAGGTGCTACGTGCAAAGCAAAAGACTTCAATAAATAACAAATATGAAGCCACTAAATGTGAATAGTTCAATACAAGACATGACTACTGCCAACAAAAATAGATCTATGCTATTTATTAAACATTTTTTATTTAAAAAAAATCACAGTGGCGAGTGTGATAGATTCAGCAAATGATCATAAAAAATCACTACTGTCTTATCCATCCCACAGGTGTGTGGTCACTGCCAATTGAATGGCTATCCTTTTTTGTACATTGTTTGTGAAGGTTCCAATAACAAAATCACAGCATGTATGATGACACAATGCAAACGCAAACTCGCCCATCTAACTGTAATATGAAAGAAACTTATGCAGACGAAAACTTAGTGAACTACAATATGCAAGAAACATATGCTTCTCAGTCAAACAAAAATACAAATCGATGTCAACCGAAAAATGCCTACTCATTGGTTCTGCAGAACCATTTAAGTAACAGAATATTAAACTATTATGGCCTATTTTATCTTAACAAATCAAGAACAACAAATGTGAGGGAATCAGAAGAAAATCATCATCAAAATATTAAAATCTGTGGGACTATCCCTGCGATTGTCTGGCCGCTGCTGAACAGTTAACCTTTAGTGCATTGTTAAGACATCAAAGTCGAGATGCTGGCACATTTTATTGCAGCGCAGTGCATTTCTAATCACAGACTTGCTTATCCATCTAAAACAAGCAAGAAATGAATGCTTCTGAATCAAACAAACACTCTAACACAGGTCAACCAAGCAAACGCATATCAGTTTAGTTCTTACATATCTAATCTACTTACAATGTGAGTTAAGACTCAACAAAAACAAATATGGGATGGAATCAGTAGATAGTCATCATCAAAAGATCAAAATCTGTGGAAACATCCCCACGGTTGTCTGGCCGCTACTGATTGAACAGCTATTTTTGTTTGCGCTGCCGATGAAGACACCAATATCAAATAATAGGCACCTTAATTGAAAAACAACGCAATGCAAATCACAGACTTACCCACCTAAACTATAACTTGCAAAAGTCAATGGCTCTAAAATCAAGTTGACAATGTAATACAGGTCAAGCAAACAAATGCCTATGCATATATTGAATTAAACCATTCAAACAACTTAGTTTAGCTACTGCATATCCTACCTACTCATGATGTATATTAACTTGTTTAACAAATTAACAGAAACAAATGTGCAATGGAATCAGTAGGTGGTCATCATCAAAAGATAACCATCTGTGGATCCATCCCTACGGTTGTCTGGCCGCTGCCAATTGAATGGCTATTTTTATCTGCACTGTTTATGAAGACACCAATATCAAAACTAAGTGCCTTAATTTTCAACAATGCAATACAAAATGCAAACTTAATTACCCGTCTTATGAATAGACAAAACCATCTAAAGTTTTCAATTTAATATTTATAAAATAAAATAAGCTTATGCATACTATATTATACCTATTTCAACAACAGTGTTGGCCAGCATTTAATAGTAATTAGATACTATCGACATACAAAAGGACATGGATATTATTAATCAAACGAGAAAACTGTTAAATTTTAATCTTTTTGAGGTAATAAAAAATTAACTTCCAAATTCCATAGATCTCTGTTACCTTCGGACAGCAAGTCCCCCAAGAAGCTTGTATCTAAGAGATTCAGCCTGTGCAATTGCGCAAAGCCCCCTGTTGTTAACCTTCTCTGCATAAAGCTCCACGCCATTCTCGGGGAAATTGAACCTCTTCTGAACCACAGAAGTCAGTTCCCTAATCCTCCTCCCCCTCTCACCTTCATGAAAAAAAAAAGATATAAATCAATTAAGACCACCAGATCGCAGTTAACAAAATCGAAATACCAACTTTAACCTAAAATAGTAAAGAATACAAAAAAAATTTACCAAGGACATTCTGCGTTCTCGTGGCGCGAATGATGATCTCGGTCCTCATCGGCGTAACCCTAACCTCGACGCCGGAGTAACCGTCCTCGGCGAGCTCTCTCGTCAGGACCTCATTGAGCTCAGCGAAGAAGACTCCGTCTGCAACGAACTGAACGAAAACGGGAAAAAATCAATTTTTTTAACGAAAAGATAGAGATGTAGAGATGCGAGAAGATTAGGGTTAGGGTTCCTGAAGACTCGCCTTTCTCTTCTTGCTGATGGCAGTGCCAGTCGTCATGATTGGAGATTAGTTTGGGGTTGTAGCTCTTCGAGATCCACTCGAAGAGCTCTCAGCGATAATGAAACCCTAGATTTGGGATTTGGGGGCAATGAAGGGGATAGCGTCTTGAACAGGGAGAGAACGAGGAAGCATTTATATGTGGGGATTAGGGTTTCGCCGGGTGCGAGGAGAATTTTGTCATTAGAAATGTATTTTAGATAATGGGCTTTCGGTGGGCTGGGCTATTGTTACCAAACTGGGCTAAGGTATTTGCTATGTTCAGGCGGGATTCCTTAGCTACTGAGGAGCTGTTTGGTTGGTTTCCTAAAAACCAAAAAAAAAGAAAATTGAGTCATGGAAATCAAAAAAGTACAATTTCCACCATTTCCATCCCTAAAACTAACTCACAACATCCAATAAAATATTATTTTCATCATACAATTCATCCACATCATCCAATAAAATATTATTTTCATCCAACAACTCATCTCATATCATCCAATAAAATAAACCAAACAACTTTTATGGGTCACATCATCCAACTCATCCCATCTCATCTTTAAAAATAACTCACATCATCCAATAATATTGTGACAACTCATCTCATCTCATCTCCATTTCATCTCCACCCATTTCCTCCAAAAAAACAAGGAAATTGATTTCCTTAAGTGTGAGTCACATCATCCAATAATATAATGACAACTCATATCTTCTCATCTCATCTCCTATTTTTAAGATTGAACCAAACACAAGAATATGACCTATTATAAGAAATAGGTTTCTTATTCTTTGATTTCCTTCTTTTTTAGCCAATCAAACAACCATCCAACAACTTTTCTTAAAAAATCACTCACATCATCCAATAATATTGTGACAACTCATCTCATCTCATCTCCTATTATTTGATTTCCTTCTTTTTTTAGCCAACCAAACAACCATAAAACAATTATTTAAGGAAATAGGTTTCTTATTCCTTAATTTCCTTCTTTTTTTTGGCAAACAAACAGCCCCTGAGATGACTTGGATTATGGGTAGTTCGCTCTTCTTCTTCTTCTTCTTCTTATTATTTGGGCTTTTTGTCTTTAGGTCCAATAGTTTACCTCCCTTTATTTTTAAACTCAAGTAGTATTAGTTGTATCTCTAAGTCCAAATTTCTTTTTGTATTTGTCTTTAAACCCAAATCCAAAATACAATACTTTCAGCAGTGGGTCCCCCCATATATTTTTCTTAAATTCCGGTTATACCCTCCCACTTATAGAATTCATTTAAGTGGGTCCCCCTTAAATAAAATAAACGAAATGGAGAGAGAGGGGGGAAACTGGCGGTAAATTTCCCCCCTCCATTCTCTCTCCGTCCTCTCTCTGCCCCCCTCTTCTTCTCCCTTTCTCTCACTCCATTAATAGAACTCAACACTCTCTCCTATAACCCATCATTTAATCACTCTCTCCTACAACCCATCAATTAATTCTCACCAACTTTCTGGGCATTTGAAGGTAGAAATTTGCAATTTACTCAACTACCAAGTTGTTAGCATTAATTTCTCATTTTAACCATGACAATTATTTGATAAGTTAGTTAAATGAGTTCATAAAAAAATTTTAATTCGTTATTTTTAGTAAAATGTTAGATAACTGAGGTTTTGTAATTAACCACCCATTAATTTCACATTAGTTATTTCACATAATTATTTTGCACTTCTTATTTCACATTATTATTTCACATAATTAGTTATTTCACATAATGTTATTTCACATAATTATTTTTAGTAAAATGTTATTGTTATGAATTCATAACAATTAGTTAAATATTAGTTAAATTTGTTATAATTGATGAAATTTTTGTTAAATTTGATCTTAGTATAGAATGATAACATGTAAGTATAGCATGAATTACCAGACTTATAAGTATAGCATATTAATATAAGTAGAGCATGTTATACTGTAAGTATAGCACATTAATACTGTAAGTATAGCACATTATACTGTAAGTATAGCACATTAACCTGTAAGTATAACATGTTATATTGTAAGTATAGCACGTTATCATGTAAGTATAGCATGTTATATTGTAAGTATAACACGTTATCATGAAAGTATAACACGTTATCATGTAAGTATAGCACATTAACCTGTAAGTATAACATGTTATATTGTAAGTATAGCACGTTATCATGTAAGTATAGCATGTTATATTGTAAGTATAACACGTTATCATGAAAGTATAACACGTTATCATCTAAGTATAGCACGTTAACCTATAAGTATAACATGTTATTCAGTAAGTATAGCACGTTAACTTGTAAGTATAGCACGTTAGTTAGTAAGTATAACACGTTAACATGTAAGTATAACACATTATTCAGTAAGCATAGCACATTATCATGTAAGTATAGTACGTTATCCTATAAGTATAGCACGTTATTCAGGAAGTATAGCATGTTATCCTATAAGTATAGCACGCTATCAGGAAGTATAGCACGTTATTAGGGCTTTTTGTCTTTAGGTCCAATAGTTTACCTCCCTTTATTTTTAAACCCAAGTAGTATTAGTTGTATCTCTAAGTCCAAATTTCTTTTTGTATTTGTCTTTAAACCCAAATCCAAAATACAATACTTTCAGCAGTGGGTCCCCCCATATATTTTTCTTAAATTCCGGTTATACCCTCCCACTTATAGAATTCATTTAAGTGGGTCCCCCTTAAATAAAATAAACGAAATGGAGAGAGAGGGGGGAAACTGGCGGTAAATTTCCCCCCTCCATTCTCTCTCCGTCCTCTCTCTGCCCCCCTCTTCTTCTCCCTTTCTCTCACTCCATTAATAGAACTCAACACTCTCTCCTATAACCCATCATTTAATCACTCTCTCCTACAACCCATCAATTAATTCTCACCAACTTTCTGGGCATTTGAAGGTAGAAATTTGCAATTTACTCAACTACCAAGTTGTTAGCATTAATTTCTCATTTTAACCATGACAATTATTTGATAAGTTAGTTAAATGAGTTCATAAAAAAATTTTAATTCGTTATTTTTAGTAAAATGTTAGATAACTGAGGTTTTGTAATTAACCACCCATTAATTTCACATTAGTTATTTCACATAATTATTTTGCACTTCTTATTTCACATTATTATTTCACATAATTAGTTATTTCACATAATGTTATTTCACATAATTATTTTTAGTAAAATGTTATTGTTATGAATTCATAACAATTAGTTAAATATTAGTTAAATTTGTTATAATTGATGAAATTTTTGTTAAATTTGATCTTAGTATAGAATGATAACATGTAAGTATAGCATGAATTACCAGACTTATAAGTATAGCATATTAATATAAGTAGAGCATGTTATACTGTAAGTATAGCACATTAATACTGTAAGTATAGCACATTATACTGTAAGTATAGCACATTAACCTGTAAGTATAACATGTTATATTGTAAGTATAGCACGTTATCATGTAAGTATAGCATGTTATATTGTAAGTATAACACGTTATCATGAAAGTATAACACGTTATCATGTAAGTATAGCACATTAACCTGTAAGTATAGCACGTTATATTGTAAGTATGGCACGTTAACCTGAAAGTATAGCACGTTATATTATAAGTATAACACGTTAACATGAAAGTATAACACGTTAACCTGAAAGTATAGCACGTTATATTGTAAGTATAACACGTTAACCTGAAAGTATAGCACGTTATATTGTAAGTATAACACGTTAACCTGAAAGTATAGCACGTTATATTGTAAGTATAACACGTTAACCTGAAAGTATAGCACGTTATATTGTAAGTATAGCTCGTTATATTGTAAGTATGGCACGTTAACCTGAAAGTATAGCACGTTATATTGTAAGTATAGCTCGTTATATTGTAAGTATGGCACGTTAACCTGAAAGTATAGCACGTTATATTATAAGTATAACACGTTAACATGAAAGTATAACACGTTAACCTGAAAGTATAGCACGTTAACCTATATTTAAATGTTAGTTAAATTTGTATATAATTGATTGATGATATTTTAGTTAAATTTGATCTTAGTGTAGAATGATAACATGTAAGTATAGCATGAAATACAAGACTTGTAAGTATAGTATGTTAATCTGAAAGTATATCACGTTATACTGTTAGTATAGCATGTTATACTGTAAGTATAGCACATTATACTGTAAGTATAGCACGTTATACTGTAAGTATAGCACATTAACTTGTAAGTATAGCATGTTAACCTGTAAGTATAGCACGTTAACCTGAAAGTATAGCACGTTAATCTGTAAGTATAGCATGTTAATATGAAAGTATAGCACGTTAACCTGAAAGTATAGCACGTTAACCTATAAGTATAGCACGTTAACCTATAAGTAGCACGTTAATCTGTAAGTATAACACGTTATCATGTAAGTATAACACGTTAACATACAAGGATAGCACGTTATCATGTAGCGGTATTTTAGCTGTATTGATTTTATGTGTCTATCTTTGATGAAATTTTTCTCTAAATTTGTTTATTTTTGGTGATAAATATAGCTGGATGAAGAATTGTATTGTGCATTGACGGATTTTAGAGGAAACAATCACTTTTTAGAATTAAATGTCAACGGGAGTTACAAAGATTTGGCCGTTGCAGTGCAAAGCCTAATTGCTTGTAGTGCAAGCACGATACAGTTGACTTACAAAGTACCCCACACGCAAGAAATATATGTTCGTGTATGTGATGATGTTGATGTCTCGATAATGGTCAATGTACATCGAAGTTGCAAGGAGAATGTTGTTGTCATGAACGCTGAGATGAATCGAGACATATTATTTGGCATACAAGCTAACGATGTCCATATAAGGTAATTTACACTTTTGATATAGTTTCGTACTTTTAACATTATCACTTTCTTAACTCTTGTACAATTTTCTATGCAGTAATCCGTATATCCCCTCTAGTGATGATCATGTTTCTCATTCACAAAATCCATCATATTCACAAAATATGTCGCGGGAAGTTGAGAGCTCTAATATGATTCCTATTGCATGGCACAATGCTATTGGAAGTGTTGGTCAAGAATTTGATGATGTTGAACATTGTCGGCGGAGTTTAAGTAATTACTCTATTGCACTCCAAAAAAACAAGGAAATTGATT